AAATTAGTTTGAATCAAAAATAATTTATATTCGGCTAATCGTGCTGAAAATTTCAAGAAGCACATAACTGACTGTCCTCTATATCATATCAAAAAGAAAAGTCAATTTCGAGATGTCCCTCTATCGATGGTTTCTGATTTTTTCAGGCATTCACTCTTAATATTATCCGAGTGTACTTATAATCAAAACTAAAGTGATAGCCGAAGATCTTCCTTCGTCCAGTTTCAATAGAAGCCAAAACTAGCAATAAAGAGTGTATTGATCGAAAAATTGTTTAATAAAAACAACATATCAAACATTTATCGTGAATATTATATAAGAGAAGTCTCGTTTAAAATTTGATCCATATGTTTCGAAAATAATTGGTACAAAATTTTCATAGAATTATTTGTTTTCCTGAATTGAGTGACATCTTTTGAAAATCTTTTATTGGATGCTTTTTCCAATGATTAAGAAACGATTATTTATTATTATTATTTATTTCTACCTGAGTTCGAACAATTTTGGCTATTCATATTATCTTTTACTATGGAAACATTTATTATTCAAAGTCGATTTGTGAAATGTTTTTCTTCCAGGACTAGTTGAACTCTTTTTTTTCCGAAGCTCCTGAGAAACGAGAATATCTCTAAGAAAAAGGAGATAGGTTTGGGTTTAATAAGTCTATTATTCGTATTCTTTCTCTTTGCACACATAACGAATCGTAGCTACCCTCAAGCCGAAACAAATCTTGCTAAAATCTTTCTTTTTAAAGATGATTATATTTTTTAAACAAAAAAATTTACTTTGTCAATGAATACTGAAGAAAAATAGCGGTCGATATATTTATTTTTCTTTCCCTCAATTTTAAGATTGTTTTTTTAATATCAAATGTCAATAAAACGTCTAACGTCAGAACTAGTTCGACGAGGTTTACATGGAGTTGGATATGAAATATTTGTTCAATCATTTTTCGATTCTAATGGAGATGGTATTGGTGATTTAAATGGTCTTCGTCAAAAGCTAAATTATCTATCGGATTTGGGTATCACATTAATATGGCTTATGCCTATTCATCCGGCTAAAACTTATCATAAATATGATGTAGAAGATTACATGAATATTCATCCTGATTATGGAACAATAGATGATTTTTGTCATTTAGTTAATGAATGTCATGAACGTGGTATACTATTAATCCTTGATCTTGTTGCTAATCATACAAGTTATGATCATCTATGGTTTAAACAAGCTCAATTAAATTCAGTCACAAATCCATATCGTGATTATTATATATGGATGGATAGTGAAAGAGTGAAAAAACTAGGTTTACATGCTTTTGATACACCAGATGCTAATTTAACTGGCTTATGGCATAAAGTTGGACCAGAAAGTGAACATTTTGATTGGGAAGAATTTGAGAAAAAATCCAAAACAACTAGTGCGGTTAATAAAGGTAGAATAGAACAGATCTTTCTTCAGATATGCGTATAATTGAAGTATCTTTGGGATTTATTTCTGTGTCATGAGATATCTGACCGCTTCAAAAACAAAGCCTACAGCATAAATAGCTAAAAAAGAAATATTAAATGCGATATACAAAATATGCGCCAGAATCTGATTCTGTAATGACTTCAGTGTTTAATTTGTAGATGATCTGTAAAATACTTCAGGTTAGAGTTAGAAAACTTTAAAACCGTACCTCTACGAGATCTTATTCAACAGCGTCTAGTCATCTGTCCTTGTGATTGGGTGGTACATTGGCATAGATAGACTTGGAAGATTAAACAGGGTTTTTTTACTAATATAGTCATCAGAATATGTTCTCTGTTAGAAGATTAATATGGTGTTCTTTCAAGTGTCAATCGAAAACATATCGCATTGGTCTGTTTAAGAATCCTTGCGGGGAAGCAACGACTCATGGGCATAGTAGGCACTCAATTAAAATCTTAGATACGTGTAAAATCTCTCACGCTTCCTACAGTGCATTTTTTAGGGATACAATCGAATTTCCAGCCTTATTCGATGTTTGTCGACAGAGATACTAAGTTCTTTCGAATATTTTTAAATTGACCTCTGGATAGGGTCAGTCGTGGCTCTTATGCAATGACTCCTAAGAATATAATCAGTTTGGCTTACGAACAAAAACATTTCTCTGAGATCAATTGAAAAATATTCCTGATGACATATAAGCTACACCCTTGATAAACAAATTTCGTATATAGACTTGATTTTTTTCAAATAAAAAACATTTAAACAAATTCGACATTCCGTGGAAGTTACTTTCTAGTGATTACACTTTAATCAAAATCTAATACACAACAAACCAAAGACGAGATTTACTCGAATTATTTATCGTTTGCCAAAATCAAATCAAATCATCAGATAGTTGAGACCTGATCAAGAAATGAGAATCTACGATTTTGTGATTCAATTTCTTATTCTATTATGGAGAAATGATTCTCGATATATTTTTAAAAATTGTTTTATCCTATATTAGTTTTTGAATAATCAATGACATAAATATATATTACGTAGATGATCGAGTGACATCAAAATTATCAATTATACATGACGAGTCATTAACAAATTTAAAACCTGAACAAATAAGAACAAATACATATTATGCTCTCTTTGATCCACGTATGCCTGATTTAAATTATGATTGCGAATATGTTCAAGATGAAATGTTTCATATTGGTCGCAGATGGCTTGAATTAGGTGTTGATGGATTTCGTCTTGATGCAGCAAAATATTTTTATAAGCCTCCTCGTCTTAAATCCAACATTGCTTGGTGGGCGAAATTTCGTAATGAAATGTCTCGTATTAATCCTTCTGTATATTTAATTGGTGAAGTATGGGATTTATCAACACGAATAGCTCCATATCTTCGTTCACTTGATTCCATGTTTAATTTTGAATTAGCTGATTTACTCATATCTTGTATATTAAATGAAGGTAATGGTTCATTAATGCTTAAATCTTATATGAAAATATTAAATACATACATAAAAGAAAGTGATAAACAAGAAGTAATTGATGCTATTTTTCTTTCCAATCATGATCAAAATCGAGTTATGTCTGTATTTAATAATAATTTATCAAAAGCTAAAATGGCTGCTGCACTTCTTCTTACGCTACCTGGTCTTCCTTTTATTTATTACGGTGAAGAAATTGGAATGTTAGGTATGAAACCCCATGATAAATATCGTCGAGAACCTTTTCTTTGGTCATCAACTAATTGTCCAGGACAAACAACATGGCTTGAACCACTATATACAAAAATTAGTAATGGTTGTATTCCACTTGATAAACAGCTTGAAGATTCAAATTCACTTGTTAATCATTATAAAAAGTTAATTCATATTCGTTGTCAATCGGATATATTATGTTTTGGTTCATTGAGACCTATTATGACAAAAATTCGCTGTTTATGTCTTTTTGAAAGAGAATATAATAATAAATTCATATTTATTGCACATAATATTGGATCTCGAAGACAATGCATTACAATACCAGAAATTTATCGGCAAAATAAAGGAAAAATCATTTTTTCCACACAAAATGAAAATCAAATTATGAATAATGGTGAATTTAATTTAAATGGATATTCATCAGTTATTATTGGATCTGATTGAACGATAATAAAATAAATTGAGGGTGTGGGTGTGAGTACGGGTTTAGAAGAGAATAAAGCCCACACCCAATACCGGCGGAATTCAATTCTCTCGACAACTGCCTAGACTACTATTATGACAATATGTACAGAGATGAAAAGGTGCTAGTGTGTTGTTAACATTCTGCCATTTATCATTGTTTGAGTCGGATACATTATCTGAAGACAACATTCTATAGTGAGTTTGATACAATTTTTACCTCGTTTTGTTCATAACTATGTGGAAAAGGAGTGAAGGCTGGCCATTACTGCCTAAGCATTTCTTCACAAAACAAAGCAACTGAACTTTACTCATTTCATTTTCACATACAAATTAATTAGAAAAGCTTATCACAACTATATCTTTTGTGACTAAAAGCAACCATTCATCATTCAAATGCAGAAGACATTCCAAAACAAATTAATCCATTCTTTTCTTATATGTTATCATTTAATTGATTTAATCAATTATGATTATTTAGTCTAAGTTGTCTCTGTTCATATAAAATAATGACGAATATAATAAATCACTATCAACATCTTAATAATCTCACACGTTTGTATTTCTATAATTGCCACGTACTAAATGATGAAACAGATTCTCAAATCGTTGTCAATAATATTTGCAATTTATCTAAACTTATTTCTTGCTATTTACCAATGACTTTGAAAAATGGGTGTTGGTGTGCGGGTGTGGAGTGTAGATGTGGGTGTGAGCGTAGCTGCAGATGAAGACGAGGCTCTTACTAACGTCCTCATCTGCATCACACACTCAGAATTCACACTCATACCCCACAATACAGCCCACACCCACACATTTGTTTGTCATGGAACGGCCTATTTCTACTTACTCCCTCACCGTCACCCCACATCTGAGGAAATTAATCTAGTCCACCAATGAAGTTAAACATAATTATTCAGATTCAACTCGATTTTGATCTTGCCCTCTGGCTCTCAGCAACGCTGTACAAACAGAAATATTATAAGAACAAAAAGCCTTGTCATCTTTGCATACTGTAAGTATAGTTACTAAAATATTAGAAAAGTAATAAACAAAGTCATACTCGTTTGTGTACTGTGATTCTTCCTGTGTCGACTGAGATAAAATAACCTACCGCTGCATTGCGCTATAACGACATCCACTCGGTGAACGTTGTCGGATTCGAACTGCAGACCAGCTGCTCCAAACATTGAGCTAAACATCATTTTTTTACGTAGCGGAGGGGGCAGGGGCATTATAGAGATTCTGGATATACTATCAAACGCTTTTAACTATTTTAGAAAAACTACTGCTAGTTGTGCAAAAAATAGCAAATTCCTGCTAAGTTGGTGATTTTTTTTTTGTGTTAAAAGTTTGCTTACAAATTTATAGCGTGACATACACATAACCATCCATTAAACGTCGCGCAGTGCGCATCAAACTGGCGGCAACTGCCTGCTTGCCAGTATCATCCAAACGACCACCAGTCAGCAACAAACCTGATGGATGCCCCAAGCGCACCATATCACCGCTAGCTGAACAATGCTGCGCCACAATGCTATCTTTAATTAAAGCTGCAATACCAACTGCAACTGCACCCGTACCAGTGAATGCCCCATGTGGAATGCCCATGGAAAATATACGCGCGCACAAGTCCATATCTTTTTCCTGAAGTTGCTGTCCATCTAGGCTGCTATAGGGCTGCGCATTGCTAACTAAGGCCACTTTCGGTGTAGCAGGACGTAAAGCTGCTTGTTCAGGTTGCTCTACCAAGCCCATTACCCATGCGCCAATCTGTCGGATGCGCTCAATCTTTTGCAATAGTTCAGGATGGTTTAATTGGACAGGCAGCTCAGCACCTGTTAAACCAAAATCACGGGCTCGCACAAATATCATTGGATTTCCTGCGTTAATCAGTGATGCTTCGATGCGACTGCCTTCATCTAGTTTAATCATATCAGTAGCGTTACCAGTAGGTAGCGTTGCACCCGTAGATGGATTTAAAAAATCAATACGAAATGCGCAGGCTGTACCGCTGACACCATCCAGTTTGTCGTTGCCTTTATAAACCGGTAAACCATCCTGAACAGGCACATGGGCATGAATAGCCTGATTTAAATTAGTTTGCCAAATGCGCACCAGTTGTATGCCAATTTCAACAGGATTTTTAATCAGTTTTTCTTCAATGGCAAAGTGTGCCACGGCTGCTGTTAGATTACCGCAATTGCCTGTCCAGTCGATCATCGGCTGTTGAATTGCTACATGGCCGAACGTGTAATTAACGTCGAAATCAGTGTCTTGAGCGGGCGCAATAATGACTACTTTGGAGGTACTACTGGTCGCTCCGCCTACCCCATTTAATTGTCTGCCATAAGGATCTGGTGAACCAATAGCAGCTAGTAAAATTGCTTCGCGTTCTGCACTCTCAGTTGGCAATTCATGTTCATGAAAAAACAGACCTTTACTAGTGCCACCACGCATCCAGACAGCTTTAATTTTTAATTGTTGATTCATATTATTTACTAGCTTTAACTCAGATTTACAATCTAAAATTTTGAATAAGAAGAGTGTCTTATGCAATTGTCCAAGGCAGAAAAAAGCTGATTCATATTCAAACCTTAACTAAGTGACCAACTGGTCTGGAAAGTCTGAACTGAGATAAGAACATAGTGTAAAAACAAAAATTAATTTTTATTTGATCAGATACTGAAACAAAAACCATAATGATATAAGATAGTGAAAAAAGGTTTTTCAAATAGCATCACTTTTGGTAGATTTTTTATTTCTCTTGAGATACAGTTAAAGCATATATACTCACTGTTATCAGATATGAAGAAAGAATGTGTTTTTTTTTGTAAAACATGACACACTATTACTGAAACCATAGAAAGAGAAACACATTAAGGCAATCTTCTCCTCCCCCTCAAAAACTGATCTCAACTCCGGCACGTTCAAATCGCATGAAATTTTCAGCATATGTTGAGGATATGAAAACAACTGCCATAATCTAGATTTTACGCCAGCTACGACGATCATCAGATGGCTTAAGATCAATTTCAGTTGAGAAAGAACAATCAAAATCGAGGTCTTATTCAAATTGTTATATAGTAAAATAATATCACTATATAATATGAATTCTTGTGATAGTTAAGACAACAGCTGCCATAAACATTTTCGCATTAGCTAGAAATTTGTTAAGTATTGTAGATTTTGTTGTAATTGTAGAATGTAATATGTGATTTACAAATAAATGTTATATCTAGAACGATAGGAAGTACAAGTATATGATATAGAGGAAGAAAGAACTAGCTGAATTCTGAATAGGTAAATTAGATCTACTTTAGTTCGGGGCAAGAATTACTAATGGAAATAAGTGAAGTTAATAAGACGAATAGAAGACATGCTCATAAGTAAAGTTATTTTATTCATTGATTGGCTTATGAAATAATTCTTTATAAGTGTTGCTTGTAGATTTTTGTGAATCTGTTATCATTCTTGATCAGTGATGGTATTTGATGACGCAGTTTTCTTTGTTTGTCTTCGTCATCGTTCTATTCAATGAAAATTAAAAATATATGTACCATTAAGAAGATGGTTTACCTAATAATTTGAAGTATTTGTTTTTTATTAGTTTATTGTGTAATAATGATGGTTTTGGCCGCTTATGTATGACTTCATCCTTTGCATCCCGATAGAGTGGGTGTGGGTGCGGGTGTCAAACCAAGATTGCACCAACATTCACACTCCATAAGAATAGAAAACAAAAAAAAATATCGAGTACAAGAATTGCTAATTCAAGTAATACACGAATTAATTTGCTTATGTATTATTCTATCGTCGTCACCAATATTTCATCGAATCAAAAATTCAACACAAAGAAATGTTAGTCCATCTTGTATAGGACGTACAAAAAGAAAGCTTCACCTTTCTCAGCTTCTTTCGTGATATTCAGATCTCCTTCGCTTGGCTTCATTGCCGTTCCTATACTCCATTTGCTCTCTTCACACATGATCTTCATTGTTGGATAATGTTCCAGTATCATCAACATCAATTTGTCATAATAGAAGCGGGAAATAATTTGATTGAGTTGAAGAAAGGCGAAAAGATTTAAGGTGAAGGGACATGAAGTGTACAAATGTTTAAGAGGACGAATGCACCGATTCTTGCACTATCAATCCCCAAGTAGCCGTCCTTAAGTACGTTCACTGATCTTCTGTGACACTGCCGTTCATCCAATCCGACAATGCCATGTTCTTCAACTTGCATCTTTCCCAACAATCTCGTAATCGAATTGTTAATTCTTATTTTCCGTCGCTAATATTTTGGTTTATCAAGCCGTCATATACCAGTGTAGAGTTCATCATAATTCACCATATTTTTCTTCATACTTCTACAATTTTCCAGTATTAAATTGCTTACGCTTATTCTTCAGAGACTGCTACCGCTCACACCGTTGAGGAAGATCATCATTGTATTAATTTTTGATTTTAACTTGATGTTTTACATATATAATAATTAGCATTTGAATCATTATTTTCTTTGCATTTGATTTATATACCAGTTTTAATACTTCACATTAATGATGGTGGTGATTGACTTCAATCAGAGATACACGAGGTCGCTCGCTTTATGATGGATTGAGACGAATTCGGTGATGATTCAGAATGAGAACGAAAGAGCATAGCTGAGATGAAGACAACATGAAGACACTCGAGAAGAGATATGAACATACTGATGTTACCAAGAAAAGTGCGCTGTCACTTACGCACAGTCGACCCGGAACTAGCCACCCTTTAATACGTTAACTGATCTTCTGTGATATTGTCGTTCTGTGAGTATCGGATGACTTCGATATTTGACAATGCCATATCTCTTATCTCAGATATCTTCACGCATCTAGTACCCCAATCAGTACTTCTTGCCGTTCATCGTTCAGAAACAGGAGTGGTAACAAACTATCAGCCGACTGTTCTATTACCATTCCATGTCTTTTCATCCTACCTGATATGCCAATTGTAACTAAATATGAATAAAATGGTTTTGTTTAAGTCGAAGTTGGCTTGTTGTAATAGAAGCGAAAGACAATACGATTGAGCTGTAAAGGTTGGAAAGCGTTGAGATAAAAAGACATGAAATGTACAGATGTTAAAAAGGAAAAGTACTGGACTTTTGCACTATCAGTCCACGCCTAGCTGTCCTTTATCACGTTCACTGATGTTCTGTGATATTGCCGCACAACAATACCATGTCTTTCAGCTCTCGTCTTCCAGACCAATTCAATGCTCGAATCATTAATAATCGTTTTCCGTCATCACTACCATGATGCATGATTATTGTTCATATTAACTTGACGCTGAATAGAGTATCGTTGAAATAATAATTACTTCTATCAGAAAATATTGTTGTTGTATTCGCCACGGTTCCTCCTGCCAGGGTTGCCAATTGTTACGAGAAATGATAGTAGGAATATTAGTGTGGATGGAGATACACTTTATTCTATACCTTCACATTATATAATTGTATCGTTTACATAAAAAGCACACGCTTGTATACACGTGTAGAATAAGAGAAGATGAAAAGAAAGGAGATGAGGCCAAGGAGATGAGGCCAAGGAGAGAGAAGATATGGAAGATCAATACGATAAGGACAGCAACGTAAAAATAAAAGGGTGAGGACAATGTATATAATATATGTGTGAATGATGTTACAATATGAGAAGCACATTACGAGACAAAAAGAGAATGAAGCTCAATCATGCATCAGTAAGCGCAAGAGTAACGCGATTATGCAAAGTACGTAATATCGATCGTACAATAACATATAGAGAAAGGAAAGATATCACATAATACTATATGCCCATTGGCACACTGACCACAATTATCATACAATTAGATAATGGAACTATACAGCTACCTTTGTAATCATATATAAGGAATGGAGATTTTTATATATATTTCCAGTAAAATCAATGTTCCTAGCGAATGCCGCTTTGCCGTTAGTCATTTCCAATGTCAATATATGTATGATACATGAAATAGTTGAAGGATTTTTGAAAGAATTTTCTTCTATAGCTTTGAGTTGTTTTAGTTCAGTTGTTAGAATTTCATAATGCAATAAATAAAAAAATATTTCTTCTTCAATTATAATAGAGCACAGAAGAAAAACCAAATTAGAAAATGGTTTTATTTAATAGGAAAGATCTTTTTGAATTGTTTCGAAACTATTAACTCGTAATCAATACAAGAGATTTTCATAAATTTACCCTCAATGAAATGATTTCAATTTGAACGAAATATGCAAAATAACATGTAGGGTGTGGGTGTGAATGTGGATATAATTATCGCTTTAACGATATCCACACCCACACCCACTCACACCCATACTCTTTGTTGAATAAAATAATTTTTGACTTACTTTAAATGTTTCAGCGTACACTGTAAAAAATAAGATTTATGAATTTGCCACGGAACATAAACCTTTTTTTCGTTTATTATTCTCCGAATTTTCTTAAACATAATAAATCCTTATATTGCAAAAGCAATCGCTTGTTACTTTTATGCCGATTTTTTCTTCTATCAAGGTTGCTTTTTTGGAAGAAAAATGAATAAGATAAGCATTGAAGCAATACCAAATTTCCATTAATCGAAAGATCGGATTACATGCTTCTACACGCTCAGCGAATGCAAACAACATGACCTATCTATTAAAGATAAAGAGGAATGCCGCCGCTATTCTGTCTAATTTCAACGCAAACGATGGTTTCAACAGTAATTCATTGTTTTGTATTCGTTCCATTCAGGTAATTTGAAAACCTTTTTTTTCTATTCATTTAACCTTGAACAATCTTCCTTTTAACGTCTCCAGATTTAATTCTTGTTTCGTTTTACATGTCGTAATTTGAATTTAGTATTTCGCCAGTTCGGGTGAAATCTCAATTCTACTATTGGATATTTCACTATGATCGATGTTGATCAAATAGCACATGTGCATGTTTCTATACAGCAGATGCTATTGACATTGGTATTTTTACCGAGGAATTCGACGATTGTTCTGAGCTGGTTGCATGCGAGCACTCAAATAATCTTTGTCGTGAACCTAACCATAGATGTATTTATCATTTTCGATGTCATAACCTTCCTATGTGTTATCCGTTGCCCAGTGTGGGTGTGGGTGTGGGTGTTATGACTCCCCTAACTCACGCCCACACCCACACCACCACACACCCACTTCATCAGGTCTAACGACTCTTCTATCTAATCTTGTCATAGTAATGTCATATTACATCGCTGAATTTTTTCTGAATATTCTTCACACAAGAGAATTCTAAAGCATATCCTTTGTTCTCTTCATTTTTACTCAGTAAATTTGTTTTTGTGATTATTCAGTTCATTGATTCTAGTTTATAATTAATAATTAATCATAAAACAATTTTGAATAATAGAGGGTGTGTGAGGACATTCGCTTAATCTATATTTACACCCACACCCATGCATATCTTAATAATATAAATAATT